ATTTGCAAGCTTCACTGCCAGCCGGCGTCCATTGTTGCATTTCGAGCTTAATAAATTTTTTTAATTATTTCAGGTGGAAACCAAAACAGGACCTATACGTGTATTTCACCTTATTCTGACTTTCCTTATCATATGCTTCAATTTCTTTGTGGAAGTCACTGTCGGATTTCCTTTATCGACAGTGGTGTCGACTGCGTTCCGATTATGAATACAGCTTATTCAGCCGAGTACCTTTCAAATTTTTGGAATTAATTAAATAAATTGAATAAACGAATATTTACATACTTCTTTTATAAGTAAATCGCAACAAGATTTTTCATTTTTAAGTTTAACGAACTTTTTGATTCAAATTAATGTTGACAAAAATGCAACCGTGTCCCACAATCCTGCTTGCAAATTCTTACTGGCAAAAATTTCCCCAGCACGAATTTGCAACTTCCCCTCCAAATGAAATGTCACAATTGTGCTCTCTCCTTGCAAGTTTTACTGGGTTTTTGGCAAAACGAACACTATTTGGTAACAATTGGTACCAACTTGCACAAATTTTTTGCATAGCGAACACTCCTAATACAAGTATCTTTTAAATATTTGGGGTGTTCACAGTTCGTTCCAAATAGTGTCTGAAAATGTAGAGTCTACATTTTAAGACGTTTTCTAACCGTAAAATCTGTGGTGTTGTTGTTTCCCATATAAAATTGGAAAACGACGCCGTCTACATTTTGTCACACTCAAAGGTATTGGGGTGTTCACAGTTCGTTCCAAATAGTGTCTGAAAATGTAGACGTCTACATTTTAAGACGTTTTCTAACCGTAAAATCTGTGGTGTTGTTGTTTCCCATACAAAATTGGAAAACGACGCCGTCTACATTTTGTCACACTCAAAGGTATGTTTTTTACGCGTCTACATTTTGCAACCTCGCAGCAGGGTTGCATTATGGCAATACTAATCACATTTTTTTTATTTCTTGGGCACGTTTTTTGTATTTGCATTTAATTTGAATGCAATTTCTGATGAAAAGAAACAAATCAAGGAAAAGAAATAACAAATATTAGGAATTGGTAATTAAGTTAAATAATTACAATTTTTCAGAAACAAAATCGAAAGGCGATATATAAAAA